GGGAGCAAAATATTAGCTCTCGTTGCAACGTTTGTTAGAGCGAAGACACTCGTAAAGGAGAATGGTCAACGGTGGCAGCGGGGCTGATTACGGCTATATTAGTATTTGCAATTAAGCATGTAGACGCGCACGCGGAGACGCGATGATTTTATTAGAGTAGGGCTCGGGCTTGTTTTATTAAGCTGTCCTTGCGAAACGTAGGTAACGTAACCGGCGGGAAATATACACGCGTGTACCGCAATTTTAGACATCTGGCGGTGGTAATAACTTAAGCGGCATAGCTTATGATAACTGAATTATGTAGCTACAAAACTTCGTGCGCGGTGCACGCAAAGCCTCTGTATAATTCAGGGATTGCGTGCAATTTGTAGGCATTTTCTGGGACCGCTGCTAGACTTGCGGTTTTCATACCGGTTTTCAGGCAACACTTTTATACGCGAATCAAGTCGATTCAAATGCAGAAATCCTCGAGGCTCTTGAGTCGATCGAAGTGGTCGTCGTTCGGACAGCGTTATACTATTGACTGATGAATTCTTAATTTGACGGGTTCCGGTAAAGGGCAAAGGTAAACGGTGAGCTCGAGCGATACTAGTAGCGATTACCCACCGTTATTTGTCGGTTTGTAGGATATATGTTTCCGATGGCGCGCACAAAGTGGCTTCTAAGCCGTTTGCCAAGAGTTCCTTTGACGTTTCTTGTTACCACGGTCCCGGTTCGCACAAGCTGCGACCGCCCTCAGACCAGTCGTCTACGGCTCTAGACGTTCTAGCTAAAACCGAGATTCAACCGTCGTCGTCGTCGTCGTCGTCGTCGTCGTCTTTCTGCTCTCCCAGAAATGGTTACGGGGATCCTTGTGCGCGCATAAACTCTAGCCACCTCCGACGCGTGTATGTGTGCCGAGCAATGTGTATACAAGTTGTTCCCGCGTTACTAATGTATCCGTTGAGTACACTGTTAATATTTAAGCGCGAGTCCGGATACCGATGTATGTACGTTGGCTCCTTCGATTCGCGGAGCGAAACCCTTCGAACCTCCCTTCCAGACTACTACGTCCGTGTGTTGCTCAATACCAGGTGTGTTCCGCGCCAGAAACGCTAACTGTATCCGGTAATTTCGGAAATTTCGATACGACATTTGAGATTAATTAATCACGCCGCGTTCGCCCGCGAGCAGAGGCCGCCTGATTGCGTCACCACCGCCACCGTCGTCGTCACCCTCTATAGTCTGCGCTCTATAGATACATCGGCTACAGGCTATATTAATCTGCGAAACGCCTTCCCGCCGGGAATTCACGTTTCCGGTTTGAGAAGCTAAAGAAACGGGAGCTTTGCGGCTGGGATATGTGTCAGTTTGCCGTAGAAGGTGGATTGGTTTCGGAGGTAGCTTCGGAGGGATCGAGTTACGGAATTGATGGAGTTTCGATGCTGTTCGGGGTCAGTTGATTCGATTAACGCGACAGGTGCGAGTTAGGGGTGACGTTTCGGGGAAGGATTTTATCTTTTATCGTAACACGTGGCCCGACAAGAAAATACGCCTATCTCAAATACTCCGCGGTTTGTCGTGTGGATATAGGTGCCTACTCGAGGGAAAATAATCGAGGACATAAGTGCAATCCAATAACGACCTTTCTTAGATCGTTTCTCGTTAAGGACCGATCGTTTGGTTACTCGATTTGTCGCATGAAACGGGTCGTGCGTTGCGAAAACGAGGAAGGGAGCCGTTTCGATGGAACGGCGGGGCAGCGAGTCGAAAGGGCGAATTAATTAGGAAATTCAGTGGTTCATAATTTACGATCGGACAGGACTCGAACGGTAAAAGGGTCTTCGAGTTCTCCTCGAGTGTTCTATTGAGCCACCGCCGCGGCCACTACTCCTCAAACACTTCAACTTGCAAGAGGTAATACTCCGTAATTGGACTATCATAATGGGATACTCACTACTCGATCGGGTAGTCTGAAACCATTCCCAAATTAAGATACTTCCATCACAGTATAAGAAAAGACAATAGGTTGTTCACTGTGTCAAAAAGTGTACAAATAATTGATTCTTGCGTATGACAAGAACGTACAATCAACAACATGACCGCTTAGTTGAATGTACCCCTTGGAAAAATCTCGGAAAAATAAAAAAAACTTTTTTCTTGAAATATCGACAATTTTTAATTAAAAATAGTGCACTTTTCTTCAAATTT